TATATATATTCATATATATATATATATATTCATATATATATATATATATTCATATATATATATATATATTCATATATATATATATATATTCATATATATATATATATATATATATATATATATATATATATATATATATATATATATATATATATATATATATATATATATATATATATATATATATATATATATATATATATATATATATATATATATATATATATATAGATAGATATATATAGATATAGATATATATTCGAAGTGAGATATACAAGTGCAACTTGACCTTCTTTAAATTCGTACTTGCCCTATTTTTATCTCCATAAAAACTACTTTTATCCATGGAGAAACTATTTGACTTAAAAATAAGCTTGAATTATGGCCGTGGTGATATAAGCTAATTTCTTTGCAAACAGTGATTGTTGAAAATGAACAAAAGTCTAAAATGAATTCAACATCCTCCACAAAAAGGAGACGCGCTTATTACGAATTACTACTCTTTAAAAGATAGACATTAATTAATTTAATTCAATAGGAACCCGTTCTACAATATAAACTAGAAATAGGCCAACAAATTGTCACGAAATACTCACAATGAAAATAGGGTCTCTGAACCACCGATTTCACCGAACGGTCAAGAAAGATCACCCCTTTGCCCAATTTTCATCGAGTATAGATCATCGTCAAGACAAGGATTATGTATATTTTAACATAAAAGAGTAGATTTTGAATAAAATACGAATGCCTGTATGAGATCTGAGCGTTATTATAAAGCACTCGATGCTTTCTCAAATAACTTATTGCACTTAATTTTTTTACAAAATTAAAAATAGTCGCACATTAAAGATATGAAAATGTAGCATGCATTACAAAGAAATGTTGGCTGACCTAAGTTATACCGCCTTACACGTCGATTAAAGCCAAGTAAAGCCCTTTCAAAGACGGGTGCCACATTAAACTACAGGTCACATGGGGTAGAGAACTCGACGAAGTATTCAGAATATTTCATAGCCAGTTTAAACGCCGCTATGTACTATTCCTGTACGTGAATTATGATGCCTGACACACCGGGTAACAAAGTTTACCACTTTGTTCGGCTGCTCCAAGTACACTTTTAAGATACAAGTTTCGATCATATCATGTTCTTCGAAGCATATGCTCAAAACAGTCCCACATAAATATGGCCACTCATCTTCTTCGTATACGAAAATATAAGTTTTCCTTTCAATTGCTTTGCTTTAAAAACAGTCATTAGGTTGTTGAACTACCAACAAAAAAACCCCGATGCTTTCAAAAATCAGTGAATCACAATGCTGAAAACTTCAACATCCTTGGAAGTTGTAAGCCAAACATCGAAAAGCAAAATTTGAGAGGAAAAGCTCACGAGCCGGGCACTATTTTTACGCAGCGTCTGTTCCCAGAGGCAAAATTCAATAAACAGTAAAACCTATAGCGTGACTGAACAATGACAATTAAATAAGGGGCGCTTATTAGAGAAGGGACGATTATAAGAGAAAGGGCGCTTATTAGAGAAGGGGGCTAATTTAAGAATTAAGAGCCTCTTATTAAACAAAACCACGTACTTGATAAATGTAAACCAAACATTTTGGCACGGAAGTCCCTGTTTAGCTCTCTGGCGAGAAAATGCCTTGATTAGATTAAGGTTATCGTTCAAGGACATGGATAGAATGAGGGCAATAATTGCATTCATGAATGTGTTCATCTCTAATATTAACATTCGTAGCTAATAACGGTTAGCATGTGTGACAAATGGCTATATAGATATGGAACAGTTGCTTTAGGTACGTGCCCCCTGTCTAGCCTAGTTCATCGGTCTTTTCGCTTTCGCCTTACTATTTTAGGGTGGTATTTGGCTAGGTTTGAAAGTTCAAGGATTCTTCGGAGAAGTAATGTGTGGACATGCCATGCCATTGTAGAACTCCACCATTTTGGAATTTGATCAATAACATAATAACAAAATTAACATCACTTCAAAGAAGATTCGTGCGGAAGGACTAAAAAAACCCTATGTTGGAAAATGAGGGAACCTCCCCTTTCCTAAACGATAAAGTCGTCGCTACGTCTGTATGCTGAACTTTAAAGTGCCTATATCACTTGTGGGACTTTTATGGATTTGGAAAGATATTAATAAGTTTTCAATAAGTTCTAAAACCTTTTTTGACTTATAGTGCAATAGTTTTGAGGATATAGGCTTTTAAACAACGAACTGTTCCTGAGTCCCAGCCTCCTGGGGTCTAAATACGGCTATTGAATTTGGCCTCTTTCGAAACTGTCCATTGTGCATAGAAGCCTGGGACTCAGGAATTGTATGTAGTTTAGAGGCCTGTATCTTTGAAATTATTGCGCTAAATAAAAAAAAGTATTTAAACTTATTAACTAACTTTTTACGCTCTTTTCAAATCTGTAAAGGTCCCACAAGTGATATAAGCACTTTAACTTTTAGACGCACCTAATAAATGACAAGGCTCATTATTAGTTTAACTTAATTAAGACGTATAGTATTCGGCAGTAGCAGTATAATAATTGTTTTTCAGAATTAACTTCTACTAGCTACCGCCACCAAGCACTGCCGCGCCGTTCATTGGCTTAGTACGCATCCGCTTGGTTAATCGGATATCAAATATCACACGCATCAGATTAGTGGAAGTCAAATCTGAACTTCTATTTTTTGTATTTGCGACGGTATAAATAATAAATCCATATCCCGTCCTACATATTAATTTGTTATTATCATTACTATATATATTATTGATACACAGTCACACACACCTCGCAAATGAATTACGATGTTAACCAAAAATTCTGAAATTTTAAAAAATTACAGCATCTATAACATAAACTATATATCTATTTTTTACTTCCTAATGAATAGTTATTGAAATATTTATCACCTACCTGGTATCTATAATTTTTGAACTAATTTGTAAAGCCTTGCGTAATTCAGGCGAAGAATTATCTATGTTGAGGCGGCAAGTTTTAAATTTGTTAAACTATCAAATTAATTTCAAATTTAAATCTTAATCCTAAGATAACTATACTTAACTTACGTTAAAATTGAAAGAAAATTCTCCTATCAAACAAGCAGGCTATCTAGTTTTACTGAAATTGTTGTGCTTATTGTTATTTAATCATGGAGACTAATCTGCTGGGGAATGACTACGGCGATCAATATCTGTTGCACATTTTATTGTTGGGAAAGTGTTCAAGTTTTTAGGGTCGTTGGAACAGCATTATGTAGCTATTATAGCCACTTTACATCAAGTATTACGCTTGCCTAATTACATACATAACAATTGTGGAAACACCAGGTACATTTATTACTGCAAAGCTTTCGTCCGTAAGTCCGGTCTTTATCAGTGCTAATAGTTTGTTTAGCATATGTGACATATTATTAGCACTGATGAAGATCGAGGCTTACGGATCGAAAGCTTTGCAGTAATAAATTTACGTGGTGTTTCCACAAACTATAATATTATATGTTTTATTGCCAAGCAAACCTACAAAGAACTTAATTGTGATAATACTTTTATCCTAACCGGTTGGTAGCGAGATCAGAGCATCAGGAGAAAACTCGCGATTTCGACAGATCGTTGGTCAACACTTTTCACACGATTTACATGAGCGAGTAAAGAGAGAATCGAACCCACGATCTTGTAGTTGAAAGGCACTTGCTCTGAAGACTTCGGCAGAATAATCAGTAACCGTAGGAGAAGTGGATTTCCATGATTTTCGTTCATCTTTGCCTCCTTCCAACAGGGCGTCTCTCAAGTTTATGGGCGAAACTTTCACGACATATCGGACAGCGAGTTCTGGATGAAAAGAGAGAAGAAAATACCACATTTAGGAACCCCAATCTAAACCTCTTCATTTTGGGGAATTTCTGATGGTCTGCAATTTATGAAAGATATGTTACGTTTTATCATCTTATGACGTAAGCAACAACGTCCGAGAGCTTGCAATTGGAAATAACTATATGTCGCATTCAGGTAGCGAACTTTGTTTTGACGATATTCAAAGAGATATGTTTACACTGTTCATATAAAATGGTGGGTTTTCGTTTTGAATGTCAATTTTTGACAAAAACAAGGTAAAAAACGTTTCAATGTAAACGATATTTTGGCTTTAAAGTAAATTTACTCGAATTGAAAAATAATTCGGTGAGCCCGAATTATATATCCATACATTTTATTGTATTCGTTTTTGTATTTGTTTGTGTATTTATATTTCTCGTGTTTTCATTTTTTACCTCTTTCCCAGTATTGTAAGCCAGTGAACTCAATCTATTTACCTGGAACGATAACATTCAGTCATTTGGCAGTTATAAAAAGTGAAGCCTCGCGTGAGCAACACGTGAGCAGTGGCGTCAGCTCCCATCAGCTCTCCACGCCATTTCCACGCCATATAGTACGTCAGTTTCAGTCCCTTTATACGCCATTACCACGCGGTCTGATCGCCACGCCATATAGTACGTCAGTTTCAGTCCCCTTATACGCCATCACCGCGCGGTCTATCACGAATCAGCTTGCGTCAAGTGGCGTTGGCATTGGCTTCACGTTTCTCCGGCATGTTATCATTCCAGATAAAAGACATGGAGTTCACTGTTGTAAGCAGGCCTTGAGTATACGAATCATTAAAGGGGCTCTTTTTACCTAGTCGAGTATATATTCTGGCTGCAAACTTACCCCATTGCATTTACACTGCGTTTCTGAGGTTTCTGAGGAGATAAGAAACTTCTCTGATTCGTTGTATACATTGTACTAAACTTTGCATACTATAGTTTTTTTCGAATATACATGCATGGAAGCTGAATAAAAATATACTTCAATCTAAATTTCTTTTCTGCGTTGGTGTTGTGTACTCAGGTGAATAATATGTTTGCGATGTTACTCTGAGTGCATATCCACACCGGGCAAGCTTGAAAAATATGCCCGGCCACGGTGGGATTCGGACCTACGATCTTTGGAATACTAGCCCAATGCTCTTCCAACTGAGCTACGCGGTCAGGACGGTTCGAGTAAGTGATATTTCGGAACCGTATCTAGTTCCTTCAATACCAATGTGTTCTAGTAATATGAATTTTTTTCTGTGTTGGTGTTGTGTACTCAGGTGAATAATACTACTCGAACCGAATATTACTCGAACCGTCCTGACCGCGTAGCTCAGTTGGAAGAGCATTGGGCTAGTATTCCAAAGGTCGTAGGTTTGAATCCCATCGTGGCTGGGCATATTTTCAAGCTCGCCCGGTGTGGATATGCACTCAGAGTAACATCGCAAATATATACTTCAATCTAATTGTGTCCGGTTGTAAACAGCAGAACTTTCTAATCTACACCATTGATTGTAGAAATGTGTTGTGTGGTATTTATTTATACAAATATTCTGAACGATAAATGGACTTACATTCCGTTCCGAATCATCCGATTGGCGCATTCTCTGTGAACTTTGTGGGAACATGGAAGAATCTGGCAGCCCGTAAACGCGTCCTGTAGAAAGTCAAAACAAGTTAAGAGTATTTAAAATGCATTTTGCAAGGACACTTGAGGAGTTACTGGTTGGAAACTGGCCTCACAAGACTTTCGAGTGAATAGGGACGAGAGACGTTTAAAAGGTGGAAGTTCTTGTGATATTTACATGGATTGCGGTTTGATCATAAAATCTTTCAAGAACTAATGCAATACATGGAGCATCATATTAAACATTATGTTGCAAACAATTATATAATCAAAATCATATGTCTCCCGAAAAGATCTTTTATTTAAAAAATCCATACAATTTGCTTTAAAATGCAATGCTTTGCATGCAATGCTTCGATGTACAGTAAAATCTCTATAATTTGCATTACATGAAATACGTGCAACATCACAATAACGTTGTGTCATTATGTACACGGCAAAAAACGCCGAGCCCGTTGCTCAACAGGTCTGAACAATGTTTTGCTACCCACGTTGTTCATAGCTGTCAACAATATTGAACAATGTTGTTGAGCCTGAATCGGGTGTAACAATATTGTTCAATATTGTTGACAGCTATGAACAATATGGGCAGCAAAACATTGTTCAATCCTGTTTTCATCAGTATTGCATCAACCTGTGCGTTATTACGCGTGTAATATATATCCCCAAGGTTGGCAACTAAATACAAATTTAAAACTGTATACACAAACTTAATGACGAAAAAACTCGTACATAAACATCGAAGTTCATTAAAAAAACTAGCTCACTATGGTATAAAGAAATAACTTTAGTACTTCTACATTGTGTTTTTTCTTCTCTCGTCACTTTTAAACGAGTTAATTTTGCGAAAATTCTGAGAAAAATTAATCAAATTCGTAACTCAATTTGATCAAAACTATGCGGGATGATGGCTCCCGGCGTTACGTCACAAAATAAAGCTCTCTGATTCGCTGGGAAATTTCATCCTGCCAATTAGAGAGTTTTTTTTTAAATTTAAAAATTTTTCAGCAAATCAGAGAGCTTTATTTTGAGACGTAACGCCGGGAGCAGTCATCCCGCATAGTTTTGACCAAATTGAGCCATTTTCCTCGGAATTTTCGCAAAATTAACTCTTTTAAAAATGATGAGAGAAGAAAAAAACACAATGTAGAAGTACTAAAGTTATTTCTTATCATAGTGAGTTAGTTTTTTTTAATGAATTTCGATGTTTATGTACGAGTTTTTTCGTCATTAAGTTTGTGTATACAGCTTTAAGTTTGTATTTAGTTGCCAACCTTGGGGATATATATTACAAAATGACACAACGCTATTGTGATGTTGCACGTACTTCATGTAATACAAATTATAGAGGTTTTACTGTACATTGAAGCATTGCATGTCAAACCATTGCATTTTAAAGCAAATTGTATGGATTTTTTTAAATAAAAGACCTTTTCGGGAGACCTATGATCAAATATTAAATCATGCATTCACCTCCAAACAGATGCCACATTCATCATGGGCTGAATCAGGACGACATTTATGATTTCCACGAAGTTGAACATCAAGACAAATACCACAAACATCACAATGAAACGAGCGATCCCCATGAATTCTAGAAAATAAACGTTTCTTATTCTCAATCTCGATCAATCACTCTGATGAGATAAAGGTTGTACAAAAGTAATCGTTACATTCCCCTTTTTCCCTACTATTTTACGTCAAGTTCTCACCTGCAAATGCCACATTTATCGCAATGATAGGGGTGATCATCATTTCCAGTAAGATGTTTGCACAGACCACAGTAGAAATTAGCGAATTGAGTGTCACATGAAACACAAAATGGACCATTTTCACCAAACTAGAAAGAAAGAAAAACGAAGAAAAATTATGAAATCATCGTATAGGAGCTGAAATTAATATATTATTCTCCAACACTGAATATATTTGACCATTTTTGCTGAACGAAAGAATGAAATCCAAAAATAATAGTTTACGTGTTTTTAGCAATAAAATTTACCGGATATCCGGAATTACTTATACAAGGTCTGTAGGAATGAGGTATTCTGCAATCTGATTGGTTGTCTACTAGCAGGATATTAGCTCATATCATATCCTGCTAGTAGAGGAAAACAAAAATGGCGGCTCAAATTTAATTCCCGACGTTTTGCGAACGAGAAATCGGCAAGTTGTTGTTAGCAAATGAATTTTTAAAATTAAAATTCTGTGAATTCGGAGATAAAAACATAAACAAAATAAAAAAATATTGAAAATATCCGAACAGCAAAGTCTGTGAATTCAGACCTTGTACATATAATGAAACAGTTATTCCTCTCACTCTCGTCGAGTGCTACGCGCCTCGTCGGCTATCAGCTCATATTCGACTCGAGTTCGTTGAAAAACTTAATTATTTTCCAAACATAGACGAATTCAATCCTAGCTACATTTTCAATATTGTCCTCATCAGTTGATCAAGCAAGGAAAGAGTCCGTTAACTTTAAAATTGTCGATGCTGACATGATATGCATTCCTTGCTTTTTCTTTCAACCACATTACAATAAAAAGTTAAAAATTCATGCTATTTATTTGAAAAAACATAAAACCTTTGGAATCTAAAAATATGAACCGTTTCAATATGGCGTAAAATCTGAAGAATTTTATGCTGCATATTTTTAGATTTTTAAGTTTTTACGCTTTCAAATAAATCTCATGGAATTTCAACTTTTCTTTAAAAGTGTGTTGAAAGACAAAAGAAGGTGTATTATGTCTGCATAGCTATTTAAATCCTACATTTCCCTTGATTCAATGATCTCTCTGTAAAGAGCTGTACTGAAAGAATCACAAAGATGCGCAGACAACATTAACATATTCTACGTTACCTGTTGTTCTTTTCCGCATTCGACACACTTGACCATCGTTGTGTCACGTGATTTCAGTTTCTTCCGCCCACACGTGCTCTCGTTGTTATGACAGCGGTGGCATGCCCAGTATTTATTGCAGCATTCGAATTTCACCAAGCACCTTCTTTTGTAGTGATTGCATAGCCAATTGTCTTGTAAATTGCCGTTCCTTGGCCCATGAAAGTGGTCATCCGGATGGCGTTGAGAAGAACCATTGTATTGTGCAGGACGATTCTGGGCGTCATGAGATGACGGTTCCCTCGATTTTGGACGTGTCTGAGACGAAGGCTGTCCTATGTTCGACAACTTATTTCCGATTTTTGTTGTAGTAACTGGAGCATCATTTGTGCTTACCATGTTCTCACCACCTGCGTATCCTTGGTTAAATTGATAAATGGCATTTAATTAATATTTGTTAATTTGTTCATTGTTTATTCTCTCTTCATGTTGTTTCAGGAGTAGAGCAAAGGTGTGGTAAAAGTGGTAACATAAATTCATAAGACTATATGAGGCGGGGATGGGGCTGTGGCAAGAGCTACTGTAGCTTCCCTTCCAGTAGAAATGAAGTTGGGAAAATTATAAACGTAAGTTGGGAAAAAGTTGGAGGAAATAATTTTTTACAACAAAAAATATGTTATGATACTAGTGGAAAATGTGTATTCTTGACAGTGGCATAGATTTCGGAAATAACATAATATATCAGAAATAAGTATTGATTTGAATTAATAAAAATGTTTAAATTAAATAATGGAATAATAAAATAGTTTGTTTATAAACCTCTTGTGTTATTAACTGCAGGACAGTCAGGAACATCTTCTGAATTTTCATACGTTGAACATCTACTGCCACTTATTACAATCGAATTGCTTGTGCTGGCAACATTTGAGTGGGGAACATGGGGATTCCTGACAATGGATACGCCATTGTTCTCGTCAGCTTTGCTAGGTCGTTCAAATACTTCAACATTGCTCACCCGGTTAACGGGGTTGGACCTTAGTAGAGATCTTGGAGTGCTATTGTGTGGTAGAAGAACTCTAGATGAGTGTACGCGATTTATATTGGCCACTCGTTCATGACTAATGTTTATCGACTTATGCTGATTGATCAACTTCCTCAACTTATTGTAGTCACCATCATAAAATTCATCAATAAGGTATACTAGATCAAATCTTGTGATTGACTCGAAGAATAAACGGAGCTGACCTAAATCCGATGCATTGATAGCACCTTTCTGGTCCAATTGTAAAATAACTTTAGCTGCACTTAAATTACTGTCGACTGTGAATTTATCATTTGCCCATTCTTTAAGCTTGATAATATCACTATATAGCAACCTATCAGATATCGTTAGTAATAATAGTCTGTAAATGTTGTAGACATGGGCATTAACTGAAGTAGAAAGTTCA